TCGTTGTTGGATCTGATCTCGATCCCCATTTAGCGGATGGGGCTATAAACGGCGAGAACTCTGACCCGGTTTCACCTGTGACTTCGATATGCTCCTCACATTTGCATTATGGGGATTGACGTGTTCGACACGTGCGATTTCTCCCTCCCGGACTCTCTCGTACATGTATCGCCAGGAGCTCACTCACGGTAGCCGATTCGCTCACCTACCCGCTCACTTGGTCACTTGCTCGCTCGCATATGAACACACTCATACGACTCCAGTGAAGTCGACAGTTGATTCCCCGAAGGGCCGTTAGGTAACACACCGTGGGAGCTTTGCAACAAACCCATCCGAACCTCTACAGATCGTCCTCGTCGTCGACTACTTGCCGGCATGCCCGCCTGCTTTCAAAACGACCGAATTATTGACCACCTCGACATCCCTGCGCCCATGCGACGATGTCCCCCGTTCTAGACAATCCAAGCTTGGGTCTGGACTGTGGAATGGCCGGGCTTTCGAGGAATAATTTGGCTCGAAGTTTTCGTCGGGATTTTTTTTTAATCCTTCCCTGTACGACTGTAAACGGTTGTTTGCCTTTTCAGATTCCGAATCCCCGCCGATTTCCCCCCTGGCGGGTGTGAGCCTCAATCTGGAGGGTCTGAATCCCACGTCGGCTGTCCTCTTTCGACCTCAGTGGCCTCTGCTACCACCACCTTCATTTTGGTCAGCGTTGTCGGCGATAAAAGGGAGAATCGAGAGCACCCCACCCGCGTTCTGGCCTCTCCTCAACTTCTACCCTTCGAACCCAATAATTTCAGCCGACGGAATCGTATCGCATGCACAAGGCAAGTGATACGCGAAGTGACGAAGTGGGTATCTACATACCGATACATATATAGCATCCGTCTCGACCGATTCAGCTCGTTGATCGATGCTTTCTGATATTTCACGCGGGGCAGGGTTTCTCGCAGAGCTTCGCGTCGGCGAAAACACGTCCAATGGTCCGAGGCAGGCGTCGAGAAGGTACGGATCATCGTACATCGAGTACGTCACACAGGACCGTCTCACGCGGTCACATCGAAAGACTCTCAGTGGTTCCTTTGTGCCGCAACTGCTATTCGGTGCTTGCCTGCCGCTGCTCACTCGGTACAAGTCCCAGGAGTGCGAGTTAGCGGACGCACAATCAGCTGGAATCAGGTTATCCTTGATTACCTCGCTCGGTGTTCTTGTAGCAAATCCTGTAGGCTCGGACGGAGGGATGCCTGGCCAGTTGGTCGGACGGCTAGAGGTGGTTAGTGGCTGTCTGCCACGTTCGCTTTCGGTGGTGGTGACGCGCTAGTTTCCTCAAGCAGCCGTTCGCCTCAGGCTTCTCGAGCGAGGGGCTTGGAAACATCCGAACCTCGGGCGGACCACGGCGCCGGCGCTCGAGGAGCTGCTGCTGCGGGATTGCATTTGTGGACAGCGGCTCAAAGCCCGATACGATTTGACGCTATGTATCCCCTGAGGCGACAGCATCGTTTGATACCTCTCAACGACGGCGATGATCCAGGCGTCTGCGCTATCCCCCTTTCCGCCCTTGCCCCGTGAGCCTCGACAAGATTGCCGGCGCGATATTGTTTCGGACGATCGACCGAAATTCCGTGACGACCTCAGCGTCGGAAGATTGTGCACTCTTCGAGCACTCGACCAGTACTGTTAATAGACTCCCCGGTCCAATTGTGGACTCAACCTGTTAGTTCTTAGTAGCCATTCCGAGTGGGCAGTCGGCCACGAAATGGAGGGATTTCGGTGGGAACAGGGAAACTTGAAGGGGCGTCGAGCCGGGTGGACGAGTCGTCCGGCCGAACGACCGACCGGCCGCCCGGCTCTACCAAGTGGCTGGCTGGCTGGCAAAGAGGCAGCGAGGGTCGGACAAACTCGATTGGTTTGAATCCTCTCGAGGATCAGGATGATACTCCTCTTCTCTGCCGAGGAGCGAAAGGGAGGAAAATATGAGAGCGGGCGCCAGGCGGGAGCGGGTAATTCTATTTGGCCCGGAGCTGGCAGAGGAGCTTTCCAAGACGGGCCCACAGGCGTGCGGACAGACAAACGGATAGCCATGACTCGCGACATATTGTTTTGTCCCGTCCGACAGATTGGAGAAGTTCACCGAGCTCCTCCGTCAGAGGCGAAAAATTTGCTCCGATAACACATAACACAGTTCCTAAAATTATTTGACGCCGACGTTCGAACGTCCGCGTGCGCACCGGCTTCGACGGACGTACACAGCCCGATAGGTTCCGAACGATTGTCGGAAATCAACATCCCGGCTCGGCGAAAGTCTCCCTGCGTTGTCTGGCGGCGGCGGCGGCAGCGGCCCGGCTTTGCTTTTGTTGGTTCGCTCCGGCAAATCGCGAAGTCTCAAGGGTGATTTTTCTCGGTTCCTCCCTCTACCCCGTGAGCGGCATCTCGGAAAACAAGGCCGCGATTCCCTCGATGTTCTCCAAGGAGTTCGGCAAGAAGAATGAACGACTGGCGGCGGCGAGAGGAAGAGAACTCCGGCTACGCTCGGAAGAAAGCAAAATCAGCAGAAATCATCGAATGTGTTCTGTGGTGTGCTGCCCCTCCGTTTCGGTCTCCTTGGAATTGATGTTTGTTCCGAGTGGGCCGCGCGTTCTCCGGAACCCGCTTTTTCGCTTGTCTGCTCTTTTCTCTATCACGGCGTTCTCGCGGCCTCTCGGGATTCTGGATTTCCTCTCCGTCTCCCCGCTTGTTGCGTTCTCCTTCGCAGCCCGAGACCTTGGAGCTTGAGCTCGAGTCGACAGCGAGATTTCCATGAAGCAGGGAAACTGCGAACGTTTCTCTTGCAGGCGACGCCATGGATTTTATCCTTCCCGTTCTCTCGTTGATTGACGATTATCGGACGTCCGTCGTTCAAATCCTCCGATAAGAGGTCCTGACGAGCTCGGCGGTGTTTGGACCTCGTTCGGGAGAAGCTCACGGGAGCTCATTGAGGAGCGAGCCAGTGGGAGTGATTCCGTGCACGGAAAGCCTGACCGGAATTCCCCGCCTATCGAGTCAATCGCCTTCCAGCGCAACGAGAAGGGAGTTCGGTCTCTTTTCAGAGCGCTGCGAAGAGACTGCGAAGAGCGAGCCGAAGAGAGAAAGACGAGATGAGGTGGTTGAAAAGACTACATGACCCCGGGCTGTTGACACAACTCTACTTCGTTACCACGCAGACGCGGTTGATTCTTGTTTCGTTCCATCCTGTGGCTGACGGCCCGACTGGATGATTCGTTGCTCGCTTGGAAGAGCAAGGAGAAAGACCGACCGAGGCATGGATGGATTGCTGGCTCTTCAACTTCGGCCGCATTCTACCCTTTGCGGTCTTCGCCCACGGCGATTCGGTGATTAAAATCATGAATGAGCGGTCCCTGCCCCTCTGTCCGTGTACTTCTCCTTCGCCTGTTCCACCGTCGCCGCCGCCAACGACAACCTTGGCGACTAGAGCGTGCGTGCCCACGATCATCCTCAGGACAGAAAAGGATGGAAGCCGAGGACGAGCTGCGGAAACAAGAGGGAGGCTTCTCAATCAACTAGTGTGGCCGAGGCGACCGAGACCACGAGCAAATATTTGAGTGTTTCCCCGTTTGTGCTTCTGTCTCTTCGTTCGGTCCTCATTTAGAAACCTCGTTCCCGGCTTCGCACCCCTTGCTGCAAGCCTACCTTTCCTTCATTGGCTACCACGGCAAGGTAACTGGATTGCTTCGCCTTAAATCGGGTCGATTGTGAAACATTGGTGATCCGGCCCAAATCCGTTTGCTCCCACTGAGGGGGTTTGTTTACACCCGCCTCGATACAAAAGGATCTGATCGAGCTGGAACTCGAATGCTCACAGCTGCTCACTCGCTGCTCGGTCGACGTCGATCCGATTGAGACGGACATTCTGCATTACTGATCGGTGCGGAGGGGAAAATACCGAATTCAGATATTTTCCTTGCCAGCCGGGCAAGTCACCGACCGTGATCAACACAAACGCCTCGGAGAAGTGCTCGATTCTTGGAAGTATAGCTGTGCTTGAGGGAAAACCTTAGTGAATTGCAGCGATCGGGAGAAATTCCTTACCCTCTGACTGCGGAGAATCTGCTTTAATAATGTTGGTCTGTGATGGCCTTGATGCGACTCGGTCGAGATCGCCCCGGATCTGATCTCAGAGTAGCGAGGAATTCCACGCCTGCCATAAATAGAGATTGCTCGCGGAGTATACTGGTGCCACTCTTGTCTTTAATATGGAGCCATTGTTTCTGCGTTTATCACTTCTCCCTCCCTACTCCGCAGGAACAATTTAGGCCAGCCAGTGCTCGAGTCGGGTCTGTCGTCCCGCTTCGGAGCGAGCTCTGCATCGGAGTCTGGATCTACTCAGCTGTTCGATTGCTCTCAATCCGTGGAGTTCTAGAAACGGCAAAACAATGAATAAACCAATGGATGTCGCGAGACAAAATCCACTATCGACCTCTGATGCCGGTAGCCGTGACAGCGGCAGCGGCGGCCGCCTGTTGGTGAGGCCGAAGCCCGTCGGCGAAGCCAAAGGCTGTTGGCTTTCGAGCGCTGGGCTCCGGGGTCGATATGTCACAGGGATGGCAGCAGCGGCGGCGGTGGCGGCACGATAAAATCAAATTCAATACTGACCAACCGCGTGACTGCTGTCTCTTTCTTTTGAGAGGGTCACGCCATAAAACAGAGTCTATCTGCGTCCGCTTATCTATGAGGTCGCGCCACCGAGAATCAAGAAGAGCATATCGGGAAACCGATCGCCGCATGCGAAACTCGCGTTCCAGACGTTGTATCTGCGGAACTATTCAATTTTGGAGTATTTCGAAAGGACGACCGCGATTTAGAAAGAGAGAATAGGCTTCGGAACGGTGTCTCAGATCGGTTTTGCAAGAGATCCTTGAAAGGAGAGAGATCCACTTCTTGGACTCCACGGATCGTTTTCGGAAAGGCACGGTCGACTGACGTCGCGTTCTCGGGATTTTCAGATGACTCGTCGAGCAAGTCGCCCGACCCACCAGAGGACGACTCGGGCCGTGAAGACGAGTCGTGTACCAGTCCGTCTCGTCTCGAGCAGTCGAGCTCCCCTTTCGAGTCACCGTCTCTCAACGCTCCCGCATCGCACCCGTTGGCAGTCAACTTGAAACCCCTGAATTTATCGACAAGTGATCTGAAGAACATCGTTCGCCCGTGGGTACACCTCGACGGGAAAGAACAGCAGAGCGGACAACTAGAACAGCTTCACCTAGAGCAACAACGGCAACAGTTATTGTTGCAGCAGCAGCAGCAGCGACAGCAAGAGCGCCAACAGAACTCTCAAGCCCCCGCGGACGATGCTTCCCGATTATTCAACCCGCTGCTGCAATTCGACTACGGGGAAATACTGCGACGGCACGGAAGCTTCCGACCGATGTTCCTCGACCTGAACCACCATCCCCTTCAACACGCTTCTCTGTCCGACATCTACTCTTGCGTTAAGTGTGATAAAATTTTCAGTACTCCGCACGGGCTCGAGGTCCACTCCCGAAGGGCGCACATGGGTAGTTCGAGGCCTTTCGCCTGCGATCTATGTGACAAGACCTTCGGCCACGAGATGGGTCTCGCTCAGCACCGGTCCGTTCATTCGGCCGAACGAAGTTTCGAGTGCAAACAGTGCGGAAAATGTTTCAAACGCTCTTCGACATTGTCAACGCACTTGCTGATTCACTCCGACACTCGACCTTACCCATGCGAGTACTGCGGCAAGAGGTTCCATCAGAAGTCTGACATGAAGAAGCACACCTACATCCACACAGGTCAGTACATAAATATACCTTGCGGCATGGAGTCTTTTTCCCTGTCTCAACATTTCTCCTCATAACTAGTGCATTCATTGGTCATGTTTAGGGCTCGATTTTCGTCGCGGTCCGTGACCGCGATTTCTCTAGCCTCGCGGGGCGTTCCTGATAGGAAGTCTATAGGAGCCTGAAAATGCCGTGAATTTTCGGCTGAAAAGCCACGACGAAAGTCGAGCCCTAGTCATGAAGTTCTAGTCTTCGCAAAGAAGCCTCAAGGGCTTTGCCCTGTCTCTGGCGGGGCATATGGACGGGAATGAGGAAAACACAAGATGAGGAAAGGCAACTCCAATCGAGATGTAAGGCCTGTTTTAGGCGTCTTCCGGGTGGCGCGTTCCTTCTGGAACGATGAGTTTATCAATTATTATCTTGAATCTGTGTGTGAGGAAGAGAACGAGGGTGGTTCGGTGGGCCTTGGAGTGTTTCACGTAGCGTGTTAGGTTGAATGTTTGCGTTCTGATCAGTCCTGAGTTTGGAGTTCTGATTGAGCTGGCTCGAGTTCCGTGGGGTTGGAGAGATTATCGAGGGTACGAATGAAGGCATCGGCTCGCTGTGGGTTCCTGTTCAGACTTTCTGTCCAGGGGCACTGCGTGTATGACTTCCAGAGCAGCAGGACACCTGCCTTCTCATCAGGGGGTTCCATCGGGACGTCATGCCTCTCTCTGGTGATTCTGGAACGTATGCCTCATTCATTTGGATATGTTTCCGGTGGCGGCAACGTAGGAGAGCTCGGCTATCGACGCCGAAGAAAGTGACGACGAAGAATTCATTATCGCCGATATTCCGATATTCTATCCAGGTAGTTGTCGTATCATAGATTCAAAGGGTCAGGAATCCCAGACATTCCTAACGCTTGGTCGAGCTGGAGCCTCGATGGACACGGGGACGCGTTTGTTTTCGGCGAGAAGCGACGCCGAGGAGCAGTCTGAATCACCTGAGGTCTAAGTTGATGCTCATTCGCCAAGCGATTAGACGGGATTTGATTAGCGACATAAAGACTGATACGCTCGCTCTCCTTCCGAACAAAATATTTGGCCGCTTCGGAGGGCGGAGGTTATGTTGCAAGAGAGATTTGAACAAGAGCGCACGCCGCGAAGGGCGCGCGCGCGCACTTTACAAGGGTTCGTTGGTCGGTCGGCTGCCTCCTCGACAGGTTGCTTGCTCGCTTGCTTACCTGGACTTGCTTGCTTGCTTGCACCCATTCTAGACTGAAATCTTGTCGCTAACCGGATTAAGAGACGGATGAGTCTCGTGGGCCGAGTCTTAATTTCTGAATTAACTTTATTACAAAGTGCAGCTATCTAGCAAGCAGACCAGCCAGCCCGGAGCACTCACTCGGTCTCTTGCAAAGCGGCCTTTCCGCTCACGGGTGAGCGGGTGCTCTCGCCGGTGCTTAACACACCTGACAGGACACATTATTGTTCGCTCAATGCCGCGCTGCAGGAGAAGCCAATCAAGAGATGACGGACAACCCGGGGCAAGATTCTCTTGCCGATCGATTTCCCCATCTGGGAAAAGACCGGGGAAACGGGCACAGAGGAACATAGAAACGGCGCTAGCAAATTGAAATATGCGCTTTCCAGGTAGACATATGTATATCGAGGAGCTCCGAGGCGACCCTGGGTTGGTTTTTCCCCCGAGATCCGAACTGGATGATGATCCTTCTTCGTCGTCGTTTTTGTCTTGTTCTCTCTACGTCTGGAATTCGTCTCGCTGATGCATGGTCGAGTGCGTTTGGCCAATGTGGCGAGCGGGTGGGCGAGCGGAGCGCGTTTCCATTTGGAGCGGTTTTGTGCACGACCTACGAGCGAGTGATCGGGCAAGCTTCGTAGGATCTCTGTTCGAATAATAATTGTTATCCCGAATGACGAATGGAACAGTCGAGAGATGGACGGATGATGTCTACGGTTTGCCTCGCGCGCTCCCTTCCTTTCTCCCTCCGTACCCCTCGTCAAATATTCACGACCTTACATGGACAGCTTCCTTGTCCTCGGCGTTCCGGAGCGGTGCGGGTGGCGCGACGCGACCCGTAATTCGGGCACCGTCGTTGTAATCTCGCGCGAGTCGGGTCGCAGCTCCAGCCGGGCGTCGTTGGCTTCCGGAAAAGCATTTTCGCCCCGGCGGCGCCTCCATCGGACCGCTCGCTGTCACTTGCAGCCCGTTTCGCAGAACTCTGTCGAATTTCTCGATGTCCCCTTGCTTTGTGGTAGGAGTGCGGAACGACGCGATCCCGATGTCGGCACACCATCTATCTCCGATCAAGAAACAATTCCTGCGCTCAAGGAAAACTCGAGTTCCACACTAGCCCCGGTCTCAAGGCTCTGTGTCAATGCTCCTTTCGAGTTCGTCCCTGCAGCGTATGCGTACTTGCACTTTATCCCTCGGAATCGGCTCGCTCCGCTTTCCTCGCGCGTCTCCAATGTCCACAATGCGGGAAAACGAGAAGACGTCATCTCATCGTAAATGCGGCGACGGCTCAATCCTCGGCGCCGATGAGCGCCGCGATATTGCCCGTAGGATGTTCAGAAATCCATAAGTCGGGATCTGAACGTATTCTGCTCCACAATAGCAGGATTCGCCACCGGCCTGTCGTGACACAGAATCGACGAATGTCCGAGTCTCGATAGGAATATCGATGAGATTTGATCAGTTCCGAGTCTCCTATTCTCTCCTGATTCCTCACAAGTCCCCTATGCGCGGTTGTCGCTGTCGTAAATTCCTCTTTGGTTTGCTGTCCGGTTCGATATTTCGAACAGAGATACAGACGAAACGTTCGCTGAGCCGTCAATACTCTATGAGGACGTCGTTGAGGACCGCTTTTGATTGAGATGAATGTCATCTGGAGCTTCCAAGTGACAAACTATTTGGCTTGCATCGCGATTATCGATCGGGTCATTGTGTTCTCCGGAGTTGTTTCTGCTCCTACAGCTGCTGCTGCCGCCGCCGCCGAGGCTCTCGTGTGGCGTCGCAAAAAAACGAGACAACGACAATGTACGTAGATATCCTCGCCGAAGAGGATCGTCATAGACGTCTACTCGGGCATCGAGGCATAGAGCGACGACTGATTGGAATACGACACCGACTCGTCAGTTTTGGGCCACAAGGAAAGGATTTCGAGCCGAGGATACAGGTCCACCATCCACCGCGAAGAGGCAACAATTCTTGCCTTGGGGAGTGGCCTGCAATCGCTTCATCTTCGAGTCGGGCAATGGGAGAAATGCTTACGAATTAGGAGCTAGGAGCTCTGCATCTCTGTTTTGTTGTCGGCTCGGAGTGATTTCGCTCAGAGGTCAAAGTTTGGTTGGAGTGTAAGATCACACTTATCTATTCCACGCGGGTCTATGGAAAACTTTCCGATTGGTATTGAGACGCAAGCAGACATCCTGCATGCATCGCCGGCTCTCCTGCGGGCCTACTTCTCCAGTTTTTCCCGCCGTAGGGAGCGGGCCTAGGAGGAACTCGTAGACGACGTGAGTTGGGTAAACTATTCGGAGCTGTCGGTCTGTCTGTCGGTCTTCCTATCTGTGCGCCAGTCAGTCGGTCGGTCGGTCCGGCAGACAGAGAGACAGACAGTCACTCCGGCCGAGCTGGCACGGCAGTCTCTAGGTTTGTGTAGTGTTCTATGTTAGAGCCACTTCTACAATTGGTTTTACGACCGAAGATTCGGAGCCGGTTGGCAGTAACTTGCCTCAACTTGGCGGACGTGGTCGGCGTTCCGATGCTGCCGTCGGGGAGCAGCCGTCAAAAACTAGCCGTATCGGTAGTAGGCGTCGTATATCTCATCCGGAGCGGCTTGCATGCTCTTCTGAAATCGTGGCGGCGTATAAATTCTGGCGAGTACTCGAATCTGTACTCCGACCTTGACAAGCACTCAGGAGAGTGATTCAATCGTTTACGTTTTTTCATTCTTGGACAGTCGCGGCATGCCGTTCAGTGATCTGTCGTCGACCGTGATGGATCCACGAGACCGAGAAGGAGAAACTCTCCAATCTCGTTCTTCGAGCACGGGAGGAATCTGGTGATATTCCTCATCTGGATGTCTCGTCCACCGTGAGAGCCAGCCTTCCTTCACGGGACAAAGAGCGGAATCGTGCCGATGGCTCAGGGAAATGCCGCGGCCTAACCCACCTCCTTCTAACCATGTCTGATTTGCAAAGAGAAAGTTTCCTCTTGCTTCCGTAAGAGCGCTGATCCTTCCGAGAGCTCGGACGGTGAGTCCACGATGAGATTGCTCCGAAACTTATCTCCCCGAAACATGGAAGGTATGACGCGACGTAAGGAATGTTGCGGAGCAAGCAAACAAGAAAGCTTTCGCTAATCAAGATCATTGAGTACGTTCTGTATTTCGTCGCACTTTCATGACTTGTCATTGAATTATTCAACAGCCGGTCAGTGGGTGACGAGAAGTCATTCCTCTCGCTGCTTGAGAGGGAAATTGTGCTGAAATTTAAATATTTTTATACACATACCTCATCACCGGCAAACACGAAGGAGTCGAAACGAGCAGCAGTAGCAGCGACTGAGAGGAACGACCGCTTCCATCTCTAATTGTTTGGGGTTTGCTTGTGGGAGTTCAGCCGAGCCAGCCGAGTAGGGTCGTTGCAGTTTGTGCCAAGGGACAATACTGTGCGGGGGTGCATACGAAACGCGTCGACAAATCGAGTATGGGGGGTCAGCAGCATGCCCCCTCTGATGCGAATCGCACCGACTCGGGGGAAAAAGAATTCTCTTGCGTCTTAGAGACAACAATTGATATTGAGGTCTCAGAGGTGGAAACAACAATCTGTTGACTCACATCTACGGCTTTCCGCTCATCGGTGAGAATCGATTCGGAGGCAAACGAGTCGACAGCAAAACCCGATTCGTTTCCCGGAGCGTAAGCCCACAGTATTCTGAAATTCGCCTCCCCCCCCGGGCCTGCGAGGCAAACGTTGGAACTTCCGAATTCGGGAACGCTCGAA